AGTGGTACATTTGTACCACCAAATATCTTTATACATTATGTATGGAGCTCGTTTCTAATTTCAGTTGTGTCCATCGCATGGCATCACTGTAAGACTAAAAACATATCGACGATCAAAGATAACGAATAAAGCGTCAATTAGTCAGAAGGAAAAGTCGCTCAAGTGGGTATTGATAAGTAAAACAATCACTCAAACTCATAGATAAGCGTTGCACCAAAATTTGAAATGCTTAGTGAAAAGATTTTAGCGGATAAGTCATAAGTTATGCAAATTATCAAAATTTATTAGCATTTCGTTGCACCAAAAATGTTTATTTATCACTTGTCATTTTTTATTTTGCAAAGTTTAGCATTATTTTGCTAAAAATAATTTTACCTATCATACCAGTGCCAATAATGAAAGGCGTGCCATAAAAAAACAAATCAGCTACAGTATAAATATTGATGTAGTGAAAAAATTGGGGCTATCTCGTAGCCAAATTGAAAAGAAATTTTATAAAAAATTGGAGCGAACCTAAAATATAATAGTGAGCAAAATAATGGCATGGTCGAATACATGGGTCGACAAATTAGCGCTATGTAGAGTAATCCGTCGAAAGGAAAATGTCGTAATAAACAAATTGATGACTGAAACTATTTATTGGTCGGAATTTTCGCAAAATATTGCCAACAAATTTTTCAACATTGGTGGATTTCCTTAAGTCGCGGGGTGCATTGACGGAACTATGATAAACATAGATGAAGGTTACTTAGTACCAATTTGTTAATCGGTACGGAAATCATTCAATTAATGCGAGGTGGTTTTTGTGTTTTTGTTACAGAATTATTTAGGAAGGAACCAAATAAATAATCCTAAAATGTAGAAAACTATAGTGATTTATATAAACATACATATGATAGTCAAGACGGACTAACTTTTTTTCCTTAATAATTTTTAAGACTCCCAACTTATAGTAAGAAAAAAAGAGAAATTGAAAATGTTTATCAAATCGCACATGGGCTGGCTAAACCTTCGTTTTCCATTAAGAAGCGGTAATCATTTTAGCTAAGCACATTATTCGAAAAGTTCTCTATTTGAAAAGCAAAAGAAATTGGAAATTGGAAAGAGAATGGTTATCAAATCGACTAATCCAAAAAAAATCGTCAGTTACTAATTTTTGTATAAGCTGATACGTTTTTTTTGATAAGTAAAAAATGCAGCACTTATCCACTTTACTTTTCAAAAAAGGCTTATCCAAAAGTTGTAAAGCCGTTGGTGCAATTGGGCCCAGCACACAAACTTGGCAGAATAGATGGAGCAACGCGAACACCGCCTTGCGACGCGTGGTCAGCCGGCGCGCGTACTGCGCGATACCACGCGGAATTGCCCACCACGCGAACGCTGACCTCCTCAGTGTTATGAACTTTTAAAGTTGTATCTATACCACGATCATAGTATGTAGTATGTTTGTCAATATTTTTTGATAGAGCAATAATGTTCATGGATTTTACTGCGCTTGCGAAAAGGTAATAGTTTTGTCTGTGATAAGAAATGGAGGATAATTATTTTGAAAATTTCTGACATTAATTCACTTTTAAATTATGTTTTAATGCCACTGACATTATTTCCACAATTCTTCTGACATTATTTCACTTTTGACCTTTGTATTAATGCCGCCACTGACATTAATTCGCTTATCAATTGTGTATTTATGTCAATGAAATTAATTTAATTGACATCATAGCACGTTACCGAATACTTTTCCAGCGCTGCTCCATCTTTGTTTAAGAGTGTTTTGAATGGAAGTAATTACTTAACATACGTATTTTATTTGAGTGCCCCTCAAAAACCCTTACTGTAGATATTTTTTCCAATCGTTCAACCAAATCAGGACTATGCATGCCTGATCCAGTACGGGTACGAGTAAATAAAACCATTGCCGAAATACTTTAACCAGCATTAGAAGTGGTCATTCAAATAAGGTTTGCCCAATTATAGTAGAAAATATTCGTATCGTGATCGGATCGTGATCGAAAGTCTTTGAATCGCCGTGCTTTGTAATACGATTTGTGTAATGTGTGTTGCGGTTTCTTTAAACAATTGATTTTTTAAATAATAACTTTATTTTGTTGTTTGACCTTCATGTGCTTGTATTTGCTGGCAAAACTGCTCATGCCCATGGTATACCATGGCTATAAGAAAACGAAACGAACTGCATGCTAAATGGAGAAGAAATACATATGACTGGCTTCTGCTGGGTCCAATATAAAATGGTCCGGAATGAAGCTACACGTATTACTAGAAAGGCGAAACATTTGTACTTTAATAATAAATTAAATCATTCGCTACCCTCGAAAGATCTAAGACGCAATACGAAAAACCGTAATGTGTATGCAACAATTAAATCGTAATGTACTATTGATCCTGAAACACTAAATAATTTCGTTTACGGATGTTAATCCGGGGCATTCTTGTGTCGAAAAGGAATTTTAGTTTGAAGGTGTTAGTGAATTCAATGTGGTGAATGTTTCAGAAATTTATCATGATTGCATTACCATTTATTATTAGTACCCTTACCCACATCATTCGTTTTAGTTTCCCAAGTGCATCATTTCTCTCTGCATGGAAAAAGCTATTTACTATACCTGTTGCTAAAAAAAACAATTGCACTTGGTACCAGTGATTACAGGCCAATCACCATATTTCCTGCCGTTTACAGGTTTCTGGAGCTATTATGGCAGCACAGATCTCAGCTTATGTTCAACAAAATAATTTACTATCCGCACGGTATCTGGTCTTCGAGTCCAACACAGCTGTTGCACTGCAATGTTAAAGATACCAGAGTACAGCGTGATCAAGGAAACAAAACTCGTCTCTTCATTTTGGACTTCTGCATGACCTTTGACATGGTAAACCATGATCTTCTGTTTCAGCTATCTTAAGGGGAGAACTCAAAAGGGTAAACTCTCAGTGCAGAACTATTATCTTAGGTGTTCCGCAAATGTCTAGCGTAGGTCCACTCTTGTTTAGTCTTTCCGTTAACGATGTGTTTCTGTATGCCTGTATATGAATGCTCATGCGTACGCCGCCGACATCCAACTGTAATTGTTAAGTCATATTTATTAGTCTAATCGAAGTCATGTTCTTTAAAATTGATTCTAATCTGTTCGCCATTTCTGTCTTGGCCACTGTTTACATTTAAATACCTCTTAATCGTATGTTTTACCGAGATAAGTAGTAATGTTGTACATGGCGAGGATATTCCGAGGCTTTGGATTGGTAACAAAGCTATTTTGTTTACTGATAAAATGAAAAATTTAGGCTTTCTTGTTAATTCCAGATTAAGCGGCGTCTTTGCTACTTTACGTAGATTGAAAATTTCTGCACCATAATTGGACGTAAGCTAGCCATTCAGCTTATTGTACGCCAAATAATATATCCCGAATTAAATAGTAAACAGTAAACTTGACTGAGCGTCAGCACATAAAATCGAGATGGCTTTTAATAGAGTTACACGCTACGTCACTCCACACAGCACAGTAATAAGATTCTGGCTGTTTATATACAAGTTGCTTGAGTGGAATGCATCTAAATACCTTTGTGACAAACTGATCCGGCCACAATATAGGTGCCAAACGAAAAAAAATTTAATAGAGCTTAGTTTCGAAGATATTTTTGAAGAGGATTGCCACCTGTTTGTAAATGAAATTATGCATACAGATGGTTTATTTGGCACACTTTCTACGGATTTCCCAAGAATGGTCTTAGACTGAAAATAATTCCAATAAATCAAGAGGGCGTGGCGCCTTCCATACAGATTTGAATTTCCATAATGCATAGATATGTATGTCTGGAAGTATTTGTGTAGGAGAATACTGGAACTTGGTATAGAGATATGTATGTGAAATAAAATTCATACCTACGGAGAAAAATGGGCGTTGTTGGAAAAGGGGCGTGGCACCTCCCATACTAACTGAAACCTTCAAATCTCTCAAATATCTCTTCAAGTGTTTGGTTTAGAGTACTCAAGCTTGAATGGAGATATGTACGTATGTAGGAACGGAGAAAGGACATACCAGAGGTGGACGTACTTACCGTGACGTGCAACTCTGACTTACGGTGACATACAACCCTGACTGACGATGAAAAGCAACCCTAATTTTCAAAGAAGAACAACGAGTATAAAACACAAAAGACTGCTGTTTCCGAGACGAGCAGTCGAAGTATGAAACTTGACAGAAACGGACGTACACACCATTATTTCGATTAATCATCATTATTTTACAAATACATTAAATATGTAAAATCCTATATGTATGTATGTGAAATCAATCTCATGGAGATAGTTGAGAGTTATTGGACAAGGGGTAGTGGCAACTTCCATGCAAATTGATTTTTTTAAGCTTCATATCTCTGGAGATGTTTATTGTAGGGGATTGGAACTTGGCAACGAGATGTTTTGTATACAAAATTAATACCATAGATACTCGTGGAAAAAATTGGGCTACCTCCCGTACAAATTTACTATTTTGTACTGCTATCTCTAGAAGCATTGGGACTTGGTATTGGTCAATATAAAATAATTTTCTTCCATAAAAAGTATGTTCGAAACTTTTTTATGTGGAGGTAAGTGCATAAAGTGTATATAAATACACAAAACTTGTAAAACGTACCAATAGCGAATGCTCTGAGTTCACAATCTGAAATAGTAATGGGCAATATTTCTGCTGGAGTTGTAAAACTATCGATAGTATATATCACCATCGATAGTTTTTAATAGTTTTAAAAAAACATCGATGGTCTTCGATACTCACCAAAACAAAATAAACTATCGATACTATCGATAGTTTTGCTACTCTACCGATGACGAAACACTAACTATTCGTAAAACTTAAATTATTGGACCTACAACCAATTGGTTATTTTCATAAAAATATACTTACTTACGTGTGCGTACTTACTTTTCCGAAAAATCATTTCAATAATCCTGTGTAAAAAATAATTGAGTCAATTAAATCCAGTACTTTTGTATCATATAATTTCGTTTATTTATTTATTTGATTCCAGCTATTTACATTCCAAACACATTTCACAGTTATTCTGTTTTCTGTTTTCTATTTGTATATTTTCTTTTATATCGAATGTATTAAAATCAAAAATTATTATTTAGTCACCTTTAGAAATTAATTTGTTCTCTAAAGTAAATCGTGTATACTTTTTTCTATATATACATTTCTATAAACTAATTGATTGAT